TGGAAATGCCTACAAATCACCAGCCTTCCACTGCTTTACTTCCAGTTCTGAGAACACGGTAATGAAGAGACAAGCTTCATGGCTTCACATCAGCAGCCTAGCCTCACAGCTGAGGTGAAGCCTGCCAGTTCAAATGCTCCGTGCATGCCATACATCTATCCATGAGGAACCAGACTGAGATCTGGTGTGGTTTTTTCTCACCCAGCTGCATATACAGCCAAATCAGCATCACCTCTGGCTACCAAAAACAAGGCCAGTTTCCTCCTCTCAGAACAATTCATTGCTGCATAGAAATTCCAATTATCAGAACAGACACCAAGACAAATGGTGACAGTAATAAACAGAAAATGCTACCAACACAGACCCAGTGACAGACTGTTCTCAGTTGAGACCTGTTACCAGGCTTACCACCTCCTCTCTTCTGAGCTTAGGTAACAGATTTCCTGCTAAGCAGCTGTGTGCCCCTGCTGGTAGGCAGGGAGGAAGAAAAAAGTTAGCTGTCCTAGTCAGTAATTCCAAATGGCAGACTCATGGCATCTGCTCATGTCTGCTGCATATCAAGGCTTTCTTCTTTGGGATCATGTGCACAAGTCACTGCTGAATTTCATGCCCTAACTGCTCCAGCCACCAGATTACAGCACAGCAGGATGAATGCCCCAGTCTGCCTGAGCAGCACATGCTCACAGAGAGCTGCACACTGTGGTGTTAGGGAGCTACAGAGCTACAGCATTCCCAACACAGGCTGGGCCTCTGTGTGACAAAAAACAGTGCCAGGAGCAGCTGCACTATTATACCTGTTCATCTTCGTATCACTACTGCAAAGCTGGCTCCATTCACAAGATTCAAAAGGATCTCTGGCACGTCAGCCTGCTGCCAGAAACTGAAAATCCATGGGTTTTCCTCAGAATATCACACAGAGATAGGTTTTGAATAGATATATCTGTACCTCTGAATAGGTAAGTTTTGTGTTTGTTTGGGTTTTGTTTGGGTTTAGTTGTTTTCTTTTTTTTAATTCTTTGCATATTTACCCAGTACATATTATGAAATTATATTAAAGAATATTTACATAAAGTTTAAATATAGTTGTTGTGAGTAACTATAGAAAACCTATATCCTGAGCAGCCTTCTCTCAAACAACATAGAGGTTTTGTGATTGAAATAACTGAAGTAAAACCAGAAGACTGAAATTCTGAAGGACTTGGTCACCTAAGTGCAATTTTCCCAGTGTCTCTTTGGTCAGGAGACAGGCACTTAATCGGAGAAAATTTCAACCAAAACCTGAGAACTTGCTACTTTGTCAAGTAAAAAAAAAACCAAACCAACCAAAACCACATAAAAATAATCACCACCAAAAGAACAACTTCTGGCAGGAAGAAGGCAGTAATAGATACGTGAATAAATGCAGTTTTAATCAAACTTGCTCATCTTCCAGTCCTAAAAGCAGCATCAATGTTGTTCTAATTTGGGGCCCACAACAATACTTCTGAAGCAGCTGTTTTGAAATTGTCAGAAGAGAAAGCACCACAATGCGGCAGCGTTGTGTCCTTTCCCTCACCCTTTCTTCCAAGCAATTAAATACTTGTTAAACAGGAAAACAAAAACCTAACAGGGCCCATCACAGGCTCCATCCCAGATTTTGAAAACAAGAGCTTTTGCAAACACCAGATCAAGAGAATGTTTTCACAATTTTTAAAGGGAGCTTTCTTCTGTTAAGCAATAGGAAAACAAACATTCTTTTGCAGTTTGTTCTACCAAACAACCCAAGATGGAGAAACAGAAAATGAAAGTGACCACAAGAAAAGCAGCCAGGCTGCACTCTCCCAGCTAAAAAGGTAATTACACAGCTAGATTGCTAAAGTTAGTGGCTGTAATGACTCAATCTGTACTTGGGAACATAGAACAGTTCAAAACCAGGACTGGGCCGATCCTTAGATGTCAACTACAAGCAATAAAGCTGACAAGATTCTACAACACAGTTTAATTCTCTGTACATCAGGGCTGGGAGAACAACCCACAGCAGGACAACAGCACTACAACCACCCAAGACATTTTAATAATGCAAGGAAGGATGAAACATACATTAATACTGAAGTCTGTAATTAGAAAGCAACACTAACCAATGATGAATGAGGATGAGCTGACTAATGAATAATCCTGAGCAAGAGGTACAGCTTGCAAGATAGGAGAGTCATCCCTCAGATGCAGCAATGCTTCAGAGATAGAAGGAAATAAAATGCAATTACATAGTGACCATGAGCATTCCACCTACTGAGAAGAGGCCACTTCTGCAGATACTTTACACTTTTTATACCTCATACCATAAAACAAGCCTAAAGATGAACTCTAGCTATCTTATTAATCCCAAGATCATTCACGACTCCAATAAAATAGACTCCTACCCAAGTAACAGACCAATACTGCACATTTCTCCTCAACACCACATATTTTAAATCGGAAATGGCTTTGATTTCTATTAGCAACATTCATACATGCCAGAGTGCAAAAGACTGGTTTGTGTTTCTGATGGTAGAAATCCTTGTGATAGGCTTTAGCCTACTCTATCAGTTGCATTATTCCACAGCCACAAAGCTTTTTCCTCATGATCTAAACCAGATGGACTTCTCTAACAACTATGCACAGCATCAAATCAGAAGAGTAACATGATGACTGACTTGGCAGTTTAATAACAAAGTTTTTATGTACCATTAATAGCTTTTTATCAATGCCCTTTCAACAATTTTTCTGTTCAGTGTTGTATTCAGAGTGTAACTGCACATTGCATTCTTTATAAAATAGGTTTCCAGGCCAAGGAAGTAAACCAGAACTATGTTTAAGGTCTTGAGAAGTCAAAGAGGATTATGAACTCTTTCTTTAAAAGAAGCAGCCAGTGAAACCTTCCAAAACATGAACCCTGACCCTTCAGGTTCCCATGAGTATTTCTAGTATCATGCTTCCCACACAGCATGCCTGTCACTTCTCTGGAAGTAGCAGACTACCCATGCTTGTCAGAAGACAAGCAAGCTGAGATTTTTCCCTCCTACCTTGACACTTGACTCTTCCTCTTAAGACAATTAAGAAAAAACAGTGATACTGCAAGACTGACTCACCATTACTAGGTAGTTACTCACCCTTGGTGTTCCCTACCAAGAGTATTTCAGAAGTGCTGAGAAGAGTCCTAATGCCTCACAGTAATCAACATGTCATAGTTCTCCTCACAACTTTTTTTTTTTTCCCCAGCCTCAAATAAAACCTGAGGATCCAAGAGTAAACAAAGTTTCTGTAGAGAGTATTTTGCTTTCAGAAAGAGTCCACGATTAATACCTCCAACAGAGCAAGCTGATGATCTTAAGAAAACTGTTCAAGTGAGGCCTCTTAGAAACACCTTACGAAAGATTGCTCATTTTCCCAAATTTGGCTCATGGATTCTTGCAAATGATTGTTTCAAAGGCATCTCCTAGAGCATCCGAGGATAATTTCCAGGAGAAAAATAAATCCCAAGAATAGCAGCAAGAGTCTACCAAACCTTCAGTTACTGCACAGACCACTTCCGCAGCAAAATGTTTTCACATTCATTGAGTTTGGGGACAGAAGTATAAATACACTGCCTGCCTTTTACCAAGCAACGCATACAATTTTTTCTGTTTTCTGGTTCAGCTAAAGCATAAGCATTTTAATGCCACTCACGTGGCAGGATCTACCACATCCTCTGAACAGCTCAGTAGTTACTTTGCCTCTCTGTTTAAAACACACATCTTCTAGACCAATAGTGCTAACTGGTACAGGTTTTTCAGCCTTAACTAGTGGTGTTTCAGCAGGCACCTGTTTTTACACAGCTCCACAAGATACTTCTTATCTGAATCCACCTTTCAAGGCAGGTAGTGACTCTCAAATACCACTTCTAACAAAACCAAAAGGCACCTGAGGGACAGCCTCTGCCACTACAAGAAGCTCTATCACATTCACCATTTCAGCTATTCTAGCAAGTCTGTTTCCTACACAGTTTGAAACGGGTAAGGGCTCAGACCTGCAGCATATGAAGTGCCTCCTGGCAAGATGCCGCAAGGGTAACTCCCATACATTCTTACAGAAGGGGAATGATTCTGCACTTGCGCCAGAGCTGGCCAAGCACACTAGTGTCTGAAATGCAGCAGCAGCAGCAGCAGCAATCTGGCTGCCCTCAGCCATTAGTTAATATCCTGGGATGAGCAGAACGGGGAAGTGAAAGGGACTACAGCTGACTTACAGCACTCATGTGGAAACAGAATGCCTCCTTCCCGTTTTTTATAGCTGTTGATATCTGAGGGGTAAATTGTTCTTTTGTTGCAAGTCGCACTAATAGCTGACCACTTTTTCTGGTTTTCACCACTTCATCAGATTAACACTTTGAATCAAATCCAGTAATCTTCCTGTTCTCCTGCAGTAAAAGGACTTTTAAAGCAAGAGATCTTTTAAAGCCTTAAGATACTGACGTTTTCAACCACAACTGACCATCACCCTGCCTGCTTTTGCAGTCTGGATGTTGGGACTGGGGACACACACCACAGCAGCAGCAGCCCTTCCACAGACCACCAGAAGTGACTACGGTCAACAATTACAACAAGTTTCACAATAAAGTCTTGCTACCCACTATCACCAGGCATAAACACATCAGAAGGGACTTCCTGTAATCCTCTCCCCCAAGAATTGACCCTTTACATCTGTTACTGAAGTGCTTTTTCACTAAAAATACCACTTACAGATCTTCCTCCATCATAAAGAACAGATTCATACATAAAGTCTGTTGTACCAATTACAGTGGTTGTCACGAGCTCATTAGGACAAGCTCATGCTACAGAAATCAAAGCACTCCATTGCTAAATCTCAGTGCTTCTTCAATCAATTAAATTCTGACACACACACCCAAAGAGAAACTACTGAAAAGCAAAGAACTGCATGGATACCTGTATCTGAAAAAGAAAACCCAAGACTGAGCTGATTTCCCAACTAGAGAGCTGTTTTACCTGCAGGCTGGACAGCCACCAACTACTACTACAGAAGTGGTGGCAACAGGCTGCTGAATAATGGTGTACGTGCTCGAATAGTTTGGCTGTGATGTCGGTGGAGGAACAGCATACCCTAAAATAAGGAAAAAAACTCAATCACCACATGTAAGGCACAAAGAACAATGATAATGATTAAAAAGGATGGAAATAGAACATGGAAAAATAAAGAGAAATGTAGTCTCGACTGAGGACTTGAAGAAGCTCTATCAAAATCAGAGTTGGAACACAATACTCAGCACATCGAATAGCAAAGCCACTTCATAAACCCAAGTATCTAGCACAATTTAACCACTGAAAAAGGACTCTGAGGTAATAATTAACTTTGTGAATTTGTTTCAACACTGTGTGAGCACCAGGGAAAAACAGATTAAACAAAGAATGACCACAGCTTTCATTTCTGGATGTTACGTATCGGGTATGTCCCATTCCAGAGGGCAAACTAGTTGAAACGGGGTAAATCTTCTTCTGGTTTCCAGCTTAACTTCAATGTATTAAGTTTATAACTGGACAGAAAGATAGGAGTGATAGGATTCAAGTGGAAAGGAAGCAAGTTGCATACCATAGGGGAGAAAAAAAAAAAAACAACCAACTTTCCGAAACCCCATGTTGTTATCCCATGAATATGTCATTTTAACAGCTGTAGTTAGAAGACACAAGCCTTTAACCACTGCACTGACATTAAAATTTAAAAGGAGGAGGGAAAAAAAGCTTTTTAAAGGGACAGTTGTGTGCAGTGTAATCCTACAGTCGTGGTACACTTTGACCAGGTATGAGCCGTTTTGAGGTTCTCTCCCAGGGTACAGTTCTCAGATTTTCTTGAGGCAACTTATGCATCTGTAAAGTCTAGCAACCTCACTACTTAAAATTAACCTGAAAATAATCAGTAATATTTGTATTGCAGGAAATTCCAAGTTATTAGTTGGAAGTCAACCTATGCCGTCAAGATTCAAGACAATGCTTGCTAACTGCAAGATCTGTGTCTGCTGTGTATTTTTTGTAACTTCTGAAGCATTCCCTTAACTGTACAGTCCTTCCCAAGAGGCTACTTCTTTCTCTGATGAGGTCAGCATTCATTCGGTTAACAGAAGTACTGTACCTACTCACCTGCTTAAGTCTCTCCAAGACTACTGAAGTGTATCAGGAAAAAACAAACATTAACCAGAGCGCAGTGAAGTGCGTGTAAATAAAAGTGCAGGTTTGGGGTCTGTTTTCACTGCCAGCGCAGCTGTGCCTCTCTGCCATTGTTTTGAGGCGAAAAAAAAACCCACATCGGAGGGACGCATGCAAACTCGGTCAGTATTTTGGGGAGGGCAGAACGCAAACACGACATTTCACCTCAGAGGCACCTAAGGAAGATGGGGAGCAGGAGATGGCGCTTTTAAACACCTGGATCCCCTCCGCACCTCCTCCCTGCGATGGGTTTAAGCGTGAAAGCCGAGAGGCTCCAACCGCCTCGCTGCTGAGAGGGAAGCCCCACGCAGGAGGCTCAGGAGTTACCCCGCTCTCCCCGCTGCTGCCGGGCAGCCCCTCAGCGGCACAGGCCACGGCCCTTCCCCACAGCCCC